AGAATACACAGAAGAACTATACAAGAAGGACCTCAATGTCCTTGACAACCACGACAGTGTGATCGCTGACCTCGAGCCAGACACCCTGGAGTGCAAAGTCAAATGGGCCTTAGAAAGCATTACTAACAGCGAAGCTAGCGCAGATGACGGTATCCCAGCTGAGCTATTCAAAGTTCTAAAAGATGATGCTGTTAAAGTGCTGCAATCCATATGCCAGCAAATTTGGAAAACGCAACAGTGGCTACAGGATTGTAAAAGGTCAGTTTACATTCCAATCCCAAAGAAGGGCAATGCCAAGGAATGTTCAAGCTATCGCACAATTGCACTCATTTCACACGCTAGCAAGGTCATGCTAAAGATCCTACAAGCTAGGCTTCAGTAGTATGTTGATAGAGAACTGCCAGAAGTACAAGCCAGGTTTCGAAGAGGTAGAGAAATAAGAGATCAAATTGCCAACATTCGCTGGATTATGGAGAAAGCAAGGGAGTACCACAAAAACATCTACTTCTGCTTAATTGACTATCAAGAAGGCCTTTGATTGTGTGGACCACAACAAACTGGGGAAAGTCCTTAAAGAGATGGGAGTACCAGACCACCTCACATGTCTCCTGAGAAATCTGTATAAGGGTCAAGAAGCGACAGAACCGGACATGGAACAACTGATTGGTTGAGAAACCTGTATAAGGGTCAAGAAGTGACAGTTAGAACTGGATATGGAACAACTGATTGGTTTAGCATAGGGAAAGAAGTACGGCAAGGATGTATATTGTCACCATGCTTATTTAATTAATATGCAGAGTACATCATGTGAAATGCCACCCTGGATGAATCATAAGCCAGAATTAAGATTGCCGGGGAAAACACCAACAACCTCAGATATACAGATGATACCACTCCAATGACAGAAAGTGAAGAGGACCTCAAGAGCCTCTTGCTCAGGGTAAAAGAGGAGAGCGCAAAAATTGGCTTGAAACTCTACATCAAAAAAACTAAGATCATGGCATCCGGCCCCATCACTCCTTGGCAAAAATTGGCTTGAAACTCTACATCAAAAAAACTAAGATCATGGCATCCGGCCCCATCACTCCTTGGCAAATAGAAAGGGAAGTCATGGAAGTAGTGACAGACTTCACATTCCTGGGATCCAAGATCACTGCAGATGGTGACTGCAGCCATGAAATTAAAAGATGCCTGCTCCTTGGGAGGAAAGCGATGGCAAACCTAGACAGCATAATAAAAAGTAGAGACATTACAAGGCCATCAAAAGTCCACATAGTCAGAGCAATGGTATTCCCAGTATTCATGTATGGCTGTGAGAGATGGACCATAAGGAAGGCCGAGCGCCAAAGAATAGATGCTTTCGAATTATGGTGCTGGAGACGACTCGAGAGTCCCTTGGACTGCAAGGAGATCAAATTAGTCCTGACTGTTCCCTAGAAGGCCAGATACTGAAGCTGAAGCTCAAATACTTTGGCCACCAAATGAGAAGGGAGCACTCACTGGAGAAGACCCTGATGCTAGGAAAGACGGAAGGTAAGAGAAGAAGGGGACGGCAAAGGATGAGATGGTCAGACAGTGTTACCAAGGCAACAAACATGAAATTGAGCAGAGGATGGCGGAAGACAGGAGGGCCTGGCATGATGTGGTCCATGGGGTCGTGAAAAGTCAGACTAGACTGTGCGACTGAACAACAACAAAATATTGCCTAAACAATATATTGATATACAGATTACAATATAGTCAATGTGTACATTGAATTATCACTAAAGGAGATGTTGGAGCTGAAGGAAGCAGATGTACGGCGTGCAAGTGAGATAATGGTGAAAGGCTGAAGTTCTTGGGAAAATACAAATGTTGTGATAATGAATGGACTAAAATCCCTGGAAGATCATGCAAGGAAAGAATAAACAGCAGGATGGGCAAATAAAGTAAAGAGATAGCAGAAAGAATATGCCAGTTAACATGACAGAAGATTATAGCCAGGTGGCTAAAAACAGAAATGTTCCTCAATGTGGCCTCAGGAGACTCAACGCAGCAGAGGATGCCCTTCAGACGTGGGTTGTAACCCCCCCAAGAGGTCAGGCAAGCGCTACCCCACGCCAGGCAAGCACAGCTGTTGTCTAACTACCCGTGGTGGAGGAACAGGAAAAAGCTGTCAGACTTAGGAGCTCCTGCACAGCCCTCGTCCAACACAGGTTTCCTGCCGCTGAAAGCATCAATGCCTTGCCTATTATCTGACGTTATAGCCAATGTGTGCTGAACTTGGACATTGACACGATCCATCTGTCTTGATCTTCTGAACTGAGGCAACTTGGATGTCAAGCTGGTTCCTTGCAACCAAGTCCTGTCAGACAGGCTGCAGTCCTTGTAGCCTCTCACAGGAGTCAGACACACATCTCCTGGTGGGCGACAGAACAACAGATTCACCAGGCCTTGACAATTCCTGGCACCAGGTTAACTGGCACCTGAACTTTGCTCCTGGCACCTAGTGTCCCCCAGGCCCCCAGCCCACAAATTCTGTTGGAATTCAAGAGGAGGGGGAAGTCAGCCCTTAAAAGGAATGTCCTGCAAAACTTGTAGCGCAAAGACAATCTGTCGCTAGGATACAAGCTCTGCTGCAAAACCCTAACCTTTAAGACCAGCAAAATTTCATTCCGGGTATCAGAGTCAGGCTACCCACCTGAATCTATCTTGCAGTGAGGAAGTTAGAGGACTAAACATCGACAGTCTTGGTACGGGAGTGTCCATTGTTTCAGGTAAGCACCCTTTTTACCCCTTAACCCCCTTAAACAACAGACAGACATTTCAGTCCAGAAAAATAAGACGGTCAAGGGAGGACAGGACATAGGTATTGTGCACGGGGGTGGGGGTGGATCAAGCATGCCTTTTCTCGCTCCCCCCATACTACTAGAACTCAGGGGTACCCCACAAATTCTCTGGGGCTCTTTCAATCAGAAGCAAACAGGTGCGCAACTCCACCCCATCCCTGACACTATGGGACGATCGCACCAAGAGAGACTGGCGGACACTGTCTCCTGACCCCTGCGGGGCTGCTTGGCACTCCCCTCTGCTCAGCCGTATGCCACACACCCAGGCCACTTACCAGCGGGCAGGAGAGCAGGGGCATCAGACGACTTGTCCTGCAGCTGCTTCTCCTCCTCCAGCGCGCTCGACTCCTCCTGCTGGTTCTCCGTGCAGCTTCCTGCCTCCAGTGGACGGGCTCCCGGTTTCGGAGTCCCTGTCAACACTTCCTCCCCTTTCCCTGGCAGTGGCAGGTTTCTTTCAGGAGTCAGCTGGCTCTCCAGAACGGCCACGGGCTCTCCGCCAGCGGCTGGGCTCTCCGGCACACGGCCCCGCCGGGCTCTCCCCTCATCCAGCGGGAGGCCCCTGTTCTCCTCTGCCCCTGCTGCCTCTGCACGGCTGTCCTCTGCCCCTGCCGCCTCTGCAGGGATCCCGGCAGGCAGCTTCCGGGCGGGGAGAGCACGGACCCCCTCCGGGCACCTCTCACTGTCTGTGTCAAGCTGGGGCCGGGCCTCACGGCCCTTCAGCACCTGCGGGCCGGCCTTGAACTCGTTCCGCCCTCCTCGGGCAGCCTCCGCTTCCTCCAAGGAGTCTTTCCTCGAGCCTCCCATGTCCTGAGTCCCCTGGGGCGGATGTTGAGAAGTCTCTGTGGCTGGAGCAGGAGCAGATACCACATGCTTTGCTGCCGTGTCTTCCTGGCAAAGGGACGGCTCTTGAGAAAGCATCAAGTGGAAGGAACACCCTTCATCACTCGATGATTTTGTTTCTCTCTGCTCCACACTGGGCATCTCCTCCACCAGAGACCCTTTTCCCAAGAAGCTCCCCGGAGAGGCCTGGTTCCCAAGAGCTGCACGAGCCCCGTCTCCGATCCCAACGGGGGCAGGGCAGGTTCTTCCTTCGGTCGGCGTCTGCAAGGCTCGGCCGCCCTGGTTAAGGCCCGGCTGCGTGCCATGGCTGAGCTCGGCCGGAACATCGCCAGTCGCCGTGCCCTTCTCCTCCGCCCGCAGAGCTCTGCCCTCTGCCTGAGTGACCTGGCTGTGTTCACTAGCAGAAAGCACCAATGCGCAAGCACCTGTGGATGCAGTCACTTTCTCCAGCGTTTCAGAGCTATCCCCTCTCTCTGCTTGTGTCTCCGGCCCTTCCTCCAAGCTTGGCGTTGGGAGGAAGGTGTCCTAAAAGAAGAAGACAGTTGAGGGTACAACATCCCTACGGCAGGCACTTGGCAAGCCACCCTCAAGTCACACAGGCTCTCTCGCAAGAGAACCAGGGGTGCCGCACCCTGGCTCCCTCTCCCAAGAGGCAAAACCCAACCAAGCAGGGGATGCGGGGGGGGGGGAGGCACAGAGCGGAGCCCTCAGCCGGCCCGCACCAGGAGGACGGCCACTACAGGAAGGCTTCCTGTAACTACGGAAAAGGACACGACCACGCTCCACAGCGACCTTCCATCCAGCATGTAAACACTATCTTCCAGCCGCTGAGAACCAAAGGACAGGAAATTTACCCGTAGGGAACCCACAGCCAGCCGAACACTTCCCATTCCCAGCTTTCCGTGACATCCAGAAAAGGGGGCTGTCACACCACAGAACTGCCCGTTGGGATGCCTCCTCACTTCACGTGCTGATACGCCGACTCTGCTGCTTCCTGCACGCCTCCCAACACAAGCAACCAGTACAGACCCGTCGCACTGCTGGGGAGCATCATCTACTCACATGAGAAAACTCTGGCTGTGACGGAATGGGAATGAACCCCGCAGCCACAGAAGGAATGCTGCCGGAGACGGGCGTGGAGGCCTGAGGAAGCCCTGCAGCCTTCCCATCTGACAACTCCTCCTGCTCCCTTCCCGCCGCTGCAAGAGAAGATGGGGGAAGGCTGAAAAGTCGCCCTCTTTGTTCTTGCGGCCGGAGCAGAGAGTTCCACAGCTGGGCGGGGGGGGGTCCCCGCCCCCCCCCCCCCCCCCAGGACTCAAAGGGGACCCAAACTGTGGAGCCACGGGTTACAGAGGCCCCTGGAAGGGAAGGATGACATACCACCTGTGGACTCTTCCGTCGGGCTTCTTGGGACAATGAGAGGTATGGATTGCGAGCAATCAGGAGAAGGTTCAGTACCAGCAGAAGCACCGCTGTGGGGGGGGGGAGAAGAAAAGCACAGTTGTTCCAGAGCCTTCCGGCCCCCACAAGCCCCCGAGAGAAGTGCGAGTCCCAGCTCACACGGCACAAGTCCATCCTCCCCGGAGCGGAAGACGAGGGGTCCAGTTCACCGGACACAGCCACACCTGGGCCCATCAAAGTCAAAGAGCTTGTGGGCAGCTCACGCAGTACACCTCACTAAGGACAGCAATGAAAACATCACACAGTTTTGCCTCATAACCTTAAGTCGGCTGTAGAAAACGGCTTCGTGGACTTACAAACAAAAAGGAAAGACAGAGGACAAAGGAGAACCCAATGCACAGGAGGAGGAAAGAAGAAGCTGCAAAGAAAGCCAGTAGCCTGAGAAAGTGAATGTTTTAAAAGGCAAACGCAATTAAAGAGCAGACCAGGACACAGGCTGCCAGCTGTAAAACTGACTCAGTTACTGCACAGAGGCCAGCAGGGACAGCCAGTCAACTGAAAACTAAATACTCTCAAGTACGCAGGTAGCAAAAGCCACCAAAATGAACTTGTAGCTTACGTGAAAAGAGGACCCTGCCCGGAGAGGTGGAGGACATGCAGAGAGTCAACGGGGGTGAGTGTCAGAGAACCAGCATCTTCTTCCACCTTGGGCACGCTACTGCCGCCAGTCGAAGCTATTCAGAAGACAAGGAAACAAGAAAATCAAGAGAATCATTATGCATATTCACACTGCAAGGCTGCTATGTTGGTCTCTGGTAGAAAAACACAGAGAGGAGTCCAGCGGCACCTTAAGGAGACTGAAACTTTCTATGAGGCACAGACACTTCTTCATCAGAAGTAGCACTTATTTCTCCTTAACCAACATACTTCAAGCACCTGATGAAGGGGTCTCAGACTCACAAAAGCGAAGGCAGGAATCCGTCCCATCAGCCTCTAAGGTGCCACAAGACTCCTTGTGACACGAACGTATGAAGCTGCCTCAGACCAAGCTGGACCACTGGCCTTTCTAGGTCAGCCCTGCGTCGACCCTGATGGGCACCTGCTGCCCAGCTTCCACCGTCCGAGGTGCTTCGGGACGGCCCATCAGACTTCCTGCCCGCGAGGAGTGCGTGCCTTCCCACCGAGCCGCAGCCACCCTCCAAGACGTACTTTCAGGAGGGGTGTTGAAAGACCTGAGTCAGATTGAGGTGACGAGAGAGGAGGTCCTAAAACTGATAGACAACTTAAAAACTGGAAAATCACCAGGCCCAGATGGCATACATCCGAGAGTTCTGAAAGAACTCAAATGTGAACTTGTAGATCTCCTGACAAAGATATGTAATCTTTCCTTAAAATCTGCCTCCATTCCTGAGGACTGGAAGGTAGCTAATGTCACTCCCATCTTTAAAAAGGGTTCCAGAGGAGATCCGGGAAATTACAGGCCAGTCAGTCTGACGTCGATACCGGGTAAATTGGTGGAAACCATTATTAAGGAAAGAATTAGTAGGCACATAGATGAACAAAACCTATTGAGGCAGACTCAGCACGGTTTCTGTAAGGGAAGATCTTGTCTCACTAACCTGTTAGTGTTCTTTGAGGGGGTGAACAAACATGTGGACAAGGGGGATCCAATAGATATTATTTACCTTGACTTCCAGAAAGCTTTTGATAAAGTTCCTCATCAAAGGCTCCTAAGTAAGCTCAAAAATCATGGGATAGAAGGACAAGTCCTTTTATGGATCAAAAACTGGCTAGTTCATAGAAAACAGAGAGTGAGTGTAGGTGGGCAATTTTCTCAGTGGAGGGTGGTAAGCAGTGGGGTACCGCAGGGATCAGTACTTGGTCCACTGCTTTTTAACTTGTTCATTAATGATTTGGAGATGGGAGTAAGCAGTGAAGTGGCTAAATTTGCGGATGATACAAAGTTGTTCAGGGTGGTGAAAACCAGTGAGGATTGTGAGGCACTCCAAGGGGATCTGTCAAGGATGGGCGAGTGGGCGTCAACATGGCAAATGGGGTTCAATGTGGCCAAGTGCAAGGTGATGCACATTGGAGCCAAAAATCCTAAATATAAATACACATTGATGGGGTCTGAACTGGCAGAGACTGAGCAAGAGAGAGATCTTGGAGTTGTAGTGGATAACTCACTGAAAATGTCGAGACAGTGTGTGACTGCAATAAAGAAGGCCAATGCTATGCTGGGGATTATTAGGAAGGGTATTGAAAACAGATCAGCCAATATAATAATGCCCCTATATAAATCAATGGTGAGACCTCATTTGGAATACTGTGTGCAGTTCTGGGCACCACACCTTAAAAAGGATATTATAGCTTTGGAAAAAGTGCAGAAAAGGGCAACTCGAATGATAAAAGGGTTGGAACACTTTCCCTATGAGGAAAGGTTAAAGCGCTTAGGGCTCTTTAGCTTGGAGAAAAGACGACTGAGGGGTGACATGATCGAGGTTTATAAGATTATGCATGGGAAAGAGCTGGTAAAGAAAGAGGTACTTTTCTCCCTTTCTCACAATACAAGAACTCGTGGGCACTCCATGAAACTGCAGAGCGGTCGGGTTAGAACGGAGGACGTCCTTCTTCACCCAAAGAGTGATTAACACTTGGAATTCACTGCCACAGGAAGTGGTGGGTGCTACAAGCATGGACGGCTTCAAAAGGGAATTAGATAAGCATATGGAGCAGAGGTCCATCAGTGGCTATTAGCCACAAGGTATAGCTAGGGGCTCTGGGGCAAGTGATGCTCTGTCTTCTTGGTGCTTGGGGGGGGGGGTCAACAGGGGGAGGGGTTCTAATGTCCTGGCCCCACTGCTGGACCTCCTGATGGCACTGGTATTTCTGGCCACTGTGTGACACAGAGTGTTGGACTGGATGGGCCTTTGGCCTGATCCAACATTGGCGTCTCTTATTCTACTGACGTGTGGCCATGAGCCACCCAAGACAAGCTGCTTCTCACCCCACGGAAGACGTGCCAAGACTCCACCCTCCATCCCTCAGCACATATGAGAATGAATGTGCACATAATGTTTTAAAGACACGGAACTGCTGAAGACCACCTACACTTCTTAGCGTGAACATACAGAACTTCCAATTTAAACATGTGCCCAAGCAGGCTGCCGCTCGGTGGCAGAGCACCTGCCCAGTACCCCAGGTTCAAACCCTGGCCTCCCCCCCCCCCCCCCCTGAAGCATCTCAAGCCGCCAGTAAGGGGAAATAGCCTCCTCTGTTGCTTGAGACCCTGGACCACCACTACCAGTCACAGCAGACAACACCCAGCACAGAGATGTAGGGCAGAACATTTTCCACTGCCTTATGTTTCTACAGAAAAATCTTCAATTTCTAAAGATTATTGCATAAAGTTAACATTCAGGATGCCACTGCAGACACAGTACTAGGCAAACAGGGCAGTTTTCAAGCCGCGGTGGAGTAGATGGCTGGACAAGGACCGGGGGAGGCTCCGTTCCAAGCGTCCCGGCTCCACCGCGGGAGCCTCCACAGACCGCCTCAGCCTCGCCCACCTCACAGGGTCCTTGTGAGGATCAAATGGAGGAGAGGAGAAGGACGTCAGCCACTGGGGGGGGGGGGGGTCCCCCACTGGGGAGAACAGTTTTGGGTAGAAACTAAATGAAGCGCCTTCATGGCTTGCATTTTGATACTGTGGTTTTTAATTATAAGCTGCCTCAAGCAGGACTTTGCGAAGGTGACATAGAAATAATTTAAAAAACATAACTAAAATTAATATTGTGTGGAAAAAACGTGTACATTTTATTGATTTTTAAATGGATGGGGAGAAAACTAAAATCACACACACACACACACACGCGTATATATATAATAATCCAACCAAAAATTTCCGAACTCACATGACTGGTTTTGATTCGATGTTCACAACCAAAGCCAAAATCCCTATTTGTACGTCTCACCTCGCCAAGTGGGCAGGACACTGTAATCGCCAGTCCCCGACAGAACGAACCGGCCACACACACGAGTGAGGCTACGGACGGGGCAGAGTGGGACTGAAGGGCATCTCTCCATGACCTCCCTGGCAGAGAGCTAAACTATGTCGCGAGGGAGAGGCGGACCCGTGGCTCTTAGAATGAGCAAAAGATGCCTTAGCACAGAGTACATCTGCAATACTTCAGGCAGAAAACTAAGGCATTTATACGTTTAACGTTCATAAAATATGTCAATCGATATTTTATGTGGTGAGTTACAAAGTTTGCATTTTATGTTGTTAAAGTAACACAACAGGTTTAGGTTTCATAGAAAAGTATTATATAAATTTTGATTTTCCTAAAATTTCTATTTTTATCCAAAAACTTGAAAACCCCTGCGACTTCAAAATGTCTGAAAATTTTACGTATCTACATATTTCCGCTTAAAAATTACAAGTATTATTCCAAACTATTTCCTCATCGGTCTGGATGTAATTACATATAACATGCAACTCAATCAATTTGGGGAGGGGGCGAGAGGGCTGCTTATGAAATATTCCAAGTATTTGTTCCTATTAGGACATAAAACTAATTTCAAATACTTTGTAAATGTGTTTCCTAAATCGGATTATGCTCTAGTTAAGGCAACAGATAATTTCCCCGAGTTTCCCCCGATTCTAATCTTTCTGGAAAAGCCACAACACTGACAGAGCTAAGCAGACGTAACAGTCTGGCTCACAAGAAGGCAGCTTCACGTATTCCCAACATTTAGCGTCTTCCTGAATGGTAGCAGGAAGTGTTTAGAATCCTGACTGGGATTTTTCCAGCTCTCCTTGGGCTAGCACAAGACAGCTATAGCTTGAATGGTTAGATGCTGAGAGAAGCACCATCAGGGTGTTGCAGACGGCTGAGACTGCAAGGAATGAACTGCGCTCTGGGAAGGCCAAGCCCATGCTCGAATCTCACAAGTCCTGTATGAACTTTCTCTGCAAAACCAACAGGAGTCCTGTGACATCTTAAAGACAAACAAGAGTTCAACTTCACACAGGGGCTTCCGTGGACTAGGAGTGGCTTCAAAAGCTACCACAAGCCTCCTGGTTATGTTTGCTGCAACCGGCCAACACAGCAGCTGCCCCTCTAGGATCTGCAAACCAGAACAGTCCAAAAGTGCTGGTGGGACTGTCACCGCAGCAGGATCGCCATTAAGAGTCTTGTGTGGCTGTCTTTAAAACCTATTCCGGAAATTAGAAAGATTCATAAGCCTCACTAGAACTCCTGCCATCCACGTCTGACACCCCACTACCACAACCCCTTGTGTACAGATTTGCAAACAGTTTCAAGAGTGTTACACACACACACACACTCACACTCTCTCTCTCCCCCCCGAGTGCCTGGAGAAGCTGGGCTGCAGTCAGCCCTGCTGCTCCCATGGCCCACACAGAGCAGAGGAGAGAGGGCACACTGCCGAAGAAGCACACGGTCCATCTTCACCTGTCAGCCTAGTCTGATCAAACATATCCTCCTGAGTAGACAAGATCTCAACACCGGGTGAACCCCAACGCAAGGGCTCCTTTGCTTGTGGCCTTCTTTCATGTTGACTGCACGCAGATATTGGGCAACCGATGGTCTCTTTACAGAGTTGCAGAATTCTGGGGGTGCTACCGGACATGACCTGTGAGCTGGGAACATCGGCATAATCAATATTCACCCTGGTGCAGCATAACTACAAGCCAACAACAGCCCTCATGGCACTTGGCCAGCAGGTAAAGGAGAGATGTACTAGCAAAGAAACTTGTATGCCCGCCTTCCACGGGACAAAGCAAAGGAGCTGCGTCCCTCTCTCTGCCCAAAAGGCCAGGGGGTGCACACACGGCCAGGCTCTCTCACAAGAATCAGTCAGGCAGCCCCGGGGGGGGGGGGGGGGGGGACATTTACCTTTCAATGCAATCACTCCCAAACCCTGTTATTTCACCAGGCGCTGCTGTATTAAGATCTGCAAATGAGACAGAAAAAGCGGCCACCATTGTGCACAACCGGGGCCACCACTGGGCCAAATGCCAGAGGATGCACAAACACTGGCACAAATCTCTCGCACTGTTTCCCGAGAATGACAAAAACCCGACTTCACTGGGGCCTAGCCTGGCCCCTGCACTCAGACCCAAGCTTCTCATATACACGCTCCCCAGAGAAGAACGGGGGCAGCCCCCCCCCTTTTGCAAAGGAGAGGCAGCTGCGCAATGATTCTGCACTAAGTCACACAGCCTTCAGAAGGAACAGCACACTAAAGCTGTGGCTGCAGCAGATGGGCTCTTCCCACTGGCATTTCTCAGCCCCTCTTTCGCTCTTTCTCTGCAGAGCATTTTCCCACCACAACACCACGGCGGAACCTCAGCCTCGACAGCAGTGAAACTGGGCAAAAATTTAAACGTATTTTCTGATTACCATTTCAAGTTTAACACTGGTGTAGCTAGCAGCACATGCCACTTCAACAGTCAACAACGGCTCGTGACACTCCCTTGTCTGCAGCCCAAACAGCATTACTTAACCATGGCTTTTCCCAAAAGGGTAAGAACAGTATTCCCACCCACCCCCACCCCCCCCCCCCAAAAAAAAAAAAACCGCCGCACGCGGGGGGGGGGGGGGGGGGGAGGCAGCCATATGACCCTTCTCCTGCCGCAATCAAAGTCCCCACTAAAGGAACAGCCTGGAGACCCTGCTCAGCGGTTCCAGGCGGCCCCTCTCCCCACCCAGGAGAGACGTTTCAAGCTGCATTCCATGACCATCGCCTCCCACTGCAAGCCCCCGTCCACAGCCAGGGCCTCCGCACTAGCGTCCACCCAGCTCTTCTTCAGAGAGTGGGGGTGGGGGCCAGGACCCTCGCCAGACAGGGCTTGCTACCTGCTGCCCACCTGCCAATGAAAGGGTCTTCCACAGCTGCAAGGGCAACCGCAGCCCCTGGAGGATCAGGAAGCTGGGCAAGTCCCAGGCCTTCCCTTCGCCAGCCTGTGCCTCCCCTCCCTCCCTCCCTCCTCTTCAGACCGGACTGACGGTCACTGGGAGCTGCTTCTGCAAAGCGGGGAGGGAGCTTTGCTCTAGCCCAAGAGTCCGGGCAGCTGGGCTGCAGCAGCATGAGGGGATTCAGAAGCCCGCCCACCCACCCACCCATTGCTCCCCCAGGCTTGCTGTCCTCCTGGTGGCAGCTCCAGGCTTCCAACCCAAGCACAGGTCACGCTAACCTTGACAGACAAGTGGCCGGACTCTGAACATGTTTAGCAGGGTTGCCATACCATTCTTTTGCAAGGCAAGGAGAGAGGTCTGGTTTCGCCTCCTCCGGCAGCCATTTCGGCACCAAAAGGGCCTGCAAGCTCAGAAAGCGTAGGGACTGCTGCCCTGAGCATACAGCTACCCAGGCATACACAGCACTCACGTACCACCTTTGGAGCCTTCCTCTCCTCCCAGAGTCGTGTCTCCGGAGCGCCCCCGCTCCTTGTCCGCAGGGCTTGCCGTCTCAGAGCTCTCTAACTCCTGGCTCTGGGAAAGTTCCAGCGCACCCAAGCCCACCTGCGATGTCCCAGAATCTAAACACCAATAAAGAGAGAAATCCACATGTCAACAGATCTGAGAAACAGCCAGAGCCAGCCTCAGGACATGGACCTGCCCACCACTTTCCCAGGACGGACTAGGTGAAAAGAGCACCCCTGCTTGTAGAAGCATGGCTTATTTGTTTCCCCCCACACGACGAAGAAGAAGAAGAAGAAGAAGAAGAAGAAGGAGGAGGAGGAGGAGGAGGAGGAGGAGGAGGGGGGGGAGGGGGGGAGGAGGAGGAGACTGGATTTATACCCCGCCCTTCACTTGGAGTCTCAGAGTGGCTCACAAACTCCTTTCCCTTCCCCTCCCCACAACAGACACCCTGTGAGGTGGGTGGGGCTGAGAGAGCTCTTGACAGAAACTGCTGTTTCAAGGACAGCTGTGCCAGAACTTGTGACTGACCCAAGGTCACACCAGCAGGTGCAAGCGGAGGAGTGGGGGAATCAAGCCCGGTTCTCCCAGATTAGAGTCCGCTCACCTAACCACTACACCAAACTTCCTTTGTTTATGCCCCACTCTTCTCTCCTCCGGGGTCCCAGAGTGGCTCACACCATCCCTGTGAGGCAGGCTGGGCTGAGGGGGTGTGCCTAGTCCAAGGTCACCCAGAGAGCTTCCACGCCAGAGTGCGGGGGGGGGGGGGGGTTTCAGACCCTGGGTCTCCCAGATCGTAGCCCCACACTCTACCCATTACAGCAGAAACTGAGCTTCTAAAGAAGCAAATGTAGTTCAAAATTTGGGTTTGGAACTGACAC